TTAGTTAATAATACTTATTACTAGTATTATATTTATAAAAAGATTATTTCTGAAATTATGTAAAGATAGTTTAATACTCACATTCCATGTAATATCTGTTTATTTTTATGAAAATCATAATGATTACAGGTACATACCTAATTACCGATAGTAAAATATAGAAACAGGTAAATGGAAAGACTGAACATTTCATTTGAAAAGAAATCTATTATTACTACAGGTAAGGTATAGGTATCATAGGTGCTAACTGACAACACTCATAAATCAATATGAATATAAGCATTTATTATTTTTATTATTAATTGCATTTTATGTTCATTTAATGCATATTATTTAAGTGCTTACATAGAAGTAAACACTAAATCTATTCAGAATATATAAAGTGTACATCTTTTACGATTAAGTATAATAATTATAACCTCAAAATCAAATACATTCTGTAGTAGGCCACGGTTCCTCAAGTTGTCCGTATCTCAACAAATGCCTAATTAGAGTTTATGAATGATTCCGAACACAACTAGCATTTTCTCATTGCTGGGCGTTCTAGGGCATTCAATGTATGGGGAACGAGCAATGTCCTTTATGGCATGGTATTAAAGTTCAAATTGACTTTTAAGTATTATTACTCATCGTTTGTATGGGAGTGTATAAAAGTGTTGTATTTGGACTTTTTCAGACAATATTTTTAATTTTCCTCTGCGTAAGATGCGGGGGCGGGGCAAGTTCATATATTCACATGAAATTATTGTGTAAAGGTATGGATTTTGGACACATGAAGCTTCAGTTGGAATTCGAATCACCTAGTGAGTGATAAAGATTGCAGGAAGCAGAAGTATTTGAACAGGCAAACAACCCCCCTTGGTGACTCCGTTGCTATCAGCAATATAATAATAGTATATAATTTATACCACACACAAGGAATGAAAAGAAGTAACCTTTGCCATGTCTCTTTGTTACAATAAAATCTGAAGACATTTTACGAAACAACACTGTATAAAGCTTGAAGCTGAGAGTGTCATGGAGTTATGGCACCCTAGACAACAGTTTGGGGATGTAAGGGCACTAACGAAAAATGGCTTGGAACAAAGCTGTCGTTGAGAGCAGGTCAACAGGAGTGCTCTATTCTTAAAATATATTGCCTGCCCTTTAGACTTGATAATTAAAAGCTTTTATTAGTGTCGCCGCACACGGGCCACCGACCACAACCACAAAACGCCGCCACCGGCATATTTTTTATAGTTTTCATACATTTTATATGGACTCGCCACACACGGTACGCCGGTGGCCGCCACACGCTACAAATCGTCGTTGCTCGCTTCTTGTGGCCCGCACCGGCCACTTAATGCGCCGATACAAAACGCCGCCACACGTCACTCACGCGATTCCCCACCCCTCTCTCCCTTACCTTAGTCGGCCGCTGTCGCGCGCTTCAGCCACTTTAGTAGCCGCTTCTAGCTTCTCGTGGCGGCGTTTGTGGCTGTGGCGTGTGGCCCGTGTGCGGCGACACTTAGTGTGTGTGTGTGTATGTTTGGGTTGAAACTATTTGTGACAACGAAGCACTATGCCAGTTTTTATGTATGTGAATGGTTTCCATTCTGTAAAATACAATCTTACTTCGTGTAAAAACCTGGAAAAGTTTATGATAATAACGTACTTTTCATGAACTTTTAACGAAAACTATAACAGTTAAGATAGATTTGTTAGATTAAGTGCAATAGTCCTTTAACTTTGGTTGAAGAAATTTTCTTGCCTATTTAAAATTCCTTAGAAGAAAACATTAAAAGTGACATAGATGAAGTCATTGTAGTTGCATTGCGACAAAATATAAAAAAAATACTATCATTACTTCCACAACGCTACCGCGAGTACCAACGGCAACGGCTTCTGAATCGCGCTAACGTTGCGTTTTTATAAAAAGTATATAAGCAATTGAAAAGATCGGCGGTTATACCCGCCTCCGATTCCTCCCACACAGGACACAAACACCAACACTACACAGCTAGCAAACGTGCACACTAGCTTAGCATTAGGCAGACACCGCACTCGTAGGATAAGAGTGCGAAGACCCGGTCTACACACGACACGCTACTGGGCGTTTTTCCCCGCCCCCCACGACAACGGCTAACTAGAGCCGAGGTCCGAGTCTCAGAGACGCCCTCTAGTTGAACCGACCCCCTCAGGTTCGAGTGGTCTGGAGGCTCCAGACGGAAAGGAGACTCCCCCCGTGGGGAGACGCCATCCGACTGGAATACCTCCAGAGGCACTCGCCAATTCTCGGCTTGAGGTCCCCTTAGGATCTCGCCGTCCCCAAACCCGGTGACGCTGTAAAGGTCATCTGCGACCAACAGCATACACACTCAAAAAAAAAAAGGATGATCGCTTCAGGCCATAAGCATAAACTACGGGTGTGTTTTAGTCAGTAAGAGTCTGACATAACCTTGCAGCCCGCTGTATTCATGAGGATTTCATACCCGCCATCCCGCCTAGGAGGAAACATAAAAAAATATTAATATACGTATATAAAAAAATTATAATATCGAATTGATTTTAAGTTTGAGACGCAGTTTGACTTTGATTTAGGTATTTTAGTCAAGAAACATAGATCTTTATTAATTATTGACGATCTCCGTGGCCGAGTGGTTTCTACGCCAGGTTTCATGGTGTCGCCGACTCGAGAGGTCCCGGGTTCAAATCCCGGTGGAGGCAGATGGTTGTGTGATGAATACGAGCATTTCTACTGCAGTCATGGATGTTTAATATGTATTTCTATATAAATATACTTATATGTGTATTCTATCCGTTACCCTAGCATCCCATAACACAAGCCTTGCAGTGCTTACTTTGGGCTAGGCTAATTGGTGTGAGTTTTGGAAATATTTATTATTTATTTATTAATTAGTTTTTCTAATTCCCGATACAGAATAAACACAACTGAGTTAGTATATTTTGGTAACTACGTCATTTGGCCGGTTTTTTTCTTAGTATATTAATCACTGGCGACAAATCTAAGTTTCAGTACATTTTCTTAGGTTTCAGCGTAAGTTTTTCGCCGTGGGTCATTAATTACACGGGAACACTGCCTGAGTGCTTTTCCTTATACGACATGAGACTTCACTCACGCCTTCAATTTTTCCTGATTAAATAGTGTCTCTCTAATATAGATGGGACTGAATGATTAATTAATTAAGGTCCTCGATCGTTAAAGTTAAGAATCTTTCTTAATGGCCGGTTTATAAGTAGAGTGATCGAAAATTTATTATCTCGAGTTTTTATTTCAAAGTTTTAAGTGATCAGCTGACTGGTTCACTTTTTTTTGCGTTCACGCAAATGATTTAATGATAGAATTTAAGCACTGTTTTTTTGTATTGAAATGAAAACAATAAAATTACTACCCTTAGTACGAGTGCGAGCTCACGAAAACTATCATAGTTTTCGAATTGTAAAACTCGTACTAAGGGTACAGCTATGTTAGCATCTGTTGTCTTTTGCAAATCTCAATGTACTGATCAGAGGAATAGATTAATCCCGAATGTAAACATAAATATTTTAGAAACTTTTTCTCAATATTCTCAAGTCTGTCAGTCCGCACACCGCGGGTTCCAAACTTGCGAAGCATACTCCAAGCCACTGCGGACGAAAGAACAATAAAGTATTTTAAGAGTTTTATATATCACCAGCGGCCCGCCCTCGCTTCGTTTCGGTGTAGAGCTGCAGTGTAGACTACAGTTTGTGTTCTCAGGCTTGTATTATACACAATGACATTCATCTATGATTCTTCTCATACCTGCATGCAAAGTCTCAGCGCGATCGGTTTAAAATTGACAAAGTTTCATACAAACTTTCTTTCCCTATTTTATCCCTTTGGGGGTGGAATTGATCAAAATCCTTTCTTAGCGGACGCCTACGTCATAACATCTACCTGCATGCTAAATTTCAGCCCGATCCGTCCAGTGATCACTATGTCAGTCAGTCAGTCACCTTTGAGTTTTATATATATAGATTTTTGTTACGGAATTTTCAAGTCTGTCAATTTGAAATAATTGCTGTGCAGCAAGTAGGGCTCTCTCAAGTAATTGGGTTAAACTAGATTCACCCACCGTAACAATTAAATCGGCCCTCCTAATGTACGCGATGGCCTTTCTTCGAATTTCAACCGAAAATTCAGTCAACCATACCAAATCCATATTTTACGCTTAATAAGAAAACTTTAACAGCCAAGTAGACCTTACAAGTTCTATTCTATTCAAAATTCATTTATTCAATTTAGGTTTTCGCAGGCACATTGTCATGTAAAAGTCAAAAGCTACGCCGTCGGTTCTCAAATCTACGGCGGGAGACGTTGTATTGAAAAGAACCATCAAGAAACTCAGCAAGGGCTGTTTTTTTTCTCCGCGTTTTATATCTTATGGTAGCCATACACACTACGAGAAATCGTTACGATCAGACTGTACAGTTCGAACGGAACAGTTTATCGTACGTGGCGTACGTATAGGAAACTGTGCAGTTTTATAACATACACGCTACGATTTATCGGTACCGTCCTCATATTGAAAGCTGACGTCAAACTTATGCTAGCCATACACACTACGAGAAATCGTTACAATCAGACTGTACAGTTCGAACGGAACAGTTTATCGTACGTGGCGTACGTATAGGAAACTGTGCAGTTTGGAGGTTTCTCCACCTACCTCCATAGGTTCAAAAAGAAGGACAGCCCTAGATGCGTTTGCGACCCAGACACCGAAGAGGACATCTTCCATGTCCTCTTAGAATGCCCCCTATACAACGGAGAAAGACACGACGCACAAACAGCACTAGACACACAACTAAGTAAGGCTAACCATAAGGAGATTATAAGAAACCAAAGAGATAGAGATATATTTATCAGGTTTAGTAAAAGTATAGTGGAAAGAGTAATTGAAAGAAATAAAGATAATTAGCATAGAGATGTACCAATTTATATTATACACCGTAAATACTAGATTTAAATAGAAAACCAAATGGGCAAAACAATCTACAGTAGTGTTAAGAAATATACGTAAATAACAAATTGTAGCATATAAGAAATATGTATAATAACAGAAAATAAGTGTGTGTAAATAGAATAAATTATGAAATGTAAATAGAACAAACAGAAAAGTAAAAGAAATGTATTAGAAGTTAAGAAAATAATTGTAAAAGTATAAGAAAGATGTGCAAAAGAATAAGCACTTAAAACATGCAAAAGAGCAGGCATGATAAATAAAATATATTAAAAGTAACAAACAAACAAACAAAGATAAAAAAGACCTGACACAAATCGGGGATACCGCTAAAAAAAACTGCAGTTTTATAACATACACGCTACGATTTATCGGTATCGTTCGGACTGTACAGTTTAATCGTAACGATTTCTCGTAGTGTGTATGGCTACCATTACACACATTTATTCCGATTCGTCCTTTTGAGGTTCTAAACCCTAATAACGTATTTTTTATTAATCGGGTATGGTACATCACACCTAATTTGTATCAGCTACTGATTTAGGATTTGCCATAATAATATTTCAAGCTTAAAATTAATAAATTTTTAATTATTTTAATTTTGAAATTATTTATTTTAATTATTTTTATATATGTTATATGATTGATGATTGAAATTGAAATTGTAATGAAATACTAACATAGGTTAAGAAAAATTGTTACTAACATATATGAGACCATGTCTTGAAATAAAAGCATTTTTTTTAAATCCAGGTCTGTCAATTGAGGAATGGTGATTTGAACTATCCCTAAAATTGTTTTCTTCTTCATCAGGTACGGTAGTCCGCACCACTCAAGATCGCAGTCGGTGAAGGCAGGGAGATCCAGGACGGGGGAGAGGCAGCTCCTCGGGTTACCCCAGCAGCGAGCCAGGGTCGCCTCCATGCCCAACACTGGGGTAGAGGAGGAGTACTACAGACTGAGGCACTTCAGTATTACAGGTAATTTATTCACCTTAAGGTATTAAACCGAGCTAAAACATAGATTGCTGAACATTTAAAATTTTTGCTAACCATAATCATATTTGACGACCTCCGTGGCCGAGTGGTTTGAACGCCGGGTTTCATGGTGTCGCCGACTCGAGAGGTCCCAGGCTCGAATCCCGTTGGGGGCAGATGTTTGTATGATGAATACGAGCATTTGTACTCCAGTCATGGATGTTTAATATGTATTTCTATATAAATATACTTATATATGTACAATATATATGTATTCTATCCGTTACCCTAGTATCCCATAACACAAGCCTTATAGTGCTTAGTTTGGGGCTAGGCTAATTGGTGTGAGTGTTGGAAATATTTATTTATTGCTTTTTCATGTAGAGTACAGAGATGTTACAAAGCGTTCATTGAGATCCTTACACGAACCCGGCTAGGGCATAGCAATGTGCTTTAAAGAGCTTGTTTAATTGTTTCAATAAATAAATATAAATTTAAAACACATAAAAAATCGTGCTTATCAATAAAATTAATAAAATTGTATGTCATAAAAATTGCATTAAATAAATTACACATTGATGTCCATTCTGGCATGATTCTCTAAAGCTAAACTTAAATTTGACAACAGTGTATCTTTGTCATTCTCTATACAGAATGAAAAGGACAGACAGATGTTAAATTTAGTTTTAAGTTTAGAGAATCCTGTCAGAATCGACACCATTATATTATTAAATAGATTATATCCCATTAAATTACTAAAAATCATCATTTTAATTTTTTGTCATTAAAATACTCTTGCATTGTATACCAGAAATAACATGCTGTCTTTTGGTGGTGACGTGTTTTTGTCGGAGAGAGAGGTTTTTTTGAATGTTAAAAAAAAACAAGGCATACAAGCGTATGGCCTGCCTGATGGTAAGCGGTCATCATAGCTACAGACGACCCTTACCCAATCCACAGCCCCGTGGAGCCCTTTAACTTTACGCACCAACAGAGACACAACACCACCAAAAGTTACTATTTTATTGTTATCTTCCCAGATTATACTATTATTTATCGGAGAAGTGGAAGTTATTCGTGACTTGGATATAATCATGGATCAAAAACTTCGCTTTCATATACATATAGACAAAATTACTGAAGCGTAAGGTTTTGGGATTTGTATTACGCCATTGCAAGAAATTTAAACACGCCTCAAGCAAAATAGCAGTTTTTCAGTCCTTGATTAGATCCGGCTCAGAATACTGCAGTGTGATTTGGACACCACGCGGGCCCAGTCCAGATTGGAAGGCAAATGCAGCTACTGCAAGGCGAAGCGTGCCTTCCGAAGCACGGAGGAGCTCAAGAAAGTATTATCTCGAACTCCTGTGACCAAGAACTTATAGTTTTGGTCACACAAAGTTTCTAAACTTTCACGTTCGCAAGAGGAATGCGCTAACCATCTGCGCCAACATTAAAGCTGTATAGGGTGAAAAAGAACTTTAAAAATGATGTATCCATCAATTTCCCGTCTACAGGCAAAGGTGTGGTGAACAGAGGGGACTCCTTAAGGTCAAGGCGGTCCAGGTCAAACACTTCTGTCGCATCCAGTGCCTCGAGCACGGAGGCTGTGACTAGAGCGTCGGCGCCCTGCTCACTGGCATCGTCCAGGTATTTCAATTAATCTATTCATATAGGATGTCCAGCAGTTCGCATAGAAACTGCTTACCGATTCGGCAAAATTTGCTTAACGAACTTGGGGACTTCAGGGTCTTAATCTGAAAATCCTTTTATTGTCATCGCTTCGTCTCTTACTCTATGGCTCCCTTTCTCTCTCGGTCTCAACCCTTTGGGTGTAGTCCTCCTTCAACTCACGCCACGTCACAATTTTGTGCGACCTGGCGCCAATTTACCCTGCTGTTCTTTTAATGTCATCGTCCCAACGCATCACAGGCCTTTCTAGAAGACAAGCCGCTTATTTTATGGCATTATTATTTATATAAATTAGAGTTAAACAGACTGCAAATTATCCTTTTTTTTTTGAGTGTGTATGCTGTTGGTCGCGCATGACCTTTACAGCGTCACCGGGTTTGGGGACGGCGAGATCCTAAGGCGACCTCAAGCCGAGAATTGGCGAGTGCCTCTAGAGGTATTCCAGTCGGATGGCGCAAACTATCCCGATACATCGTCGTACCTTTATGAGTACAAACATAGAATTTTATAAAATCGGATGTAGTCTTATTAAATTCCCAGAAGGCTCCACTCAGACCTAACATCGTGTCAGGATAGTGCAAAAGGAACTAGGTCATCAGATCGGTTAGGCTTCCTAAGTAGTCAGTCAAACAATCTCCAAGTCTTAAGAAGGTACCATTTAGTCTTTAAGGCTGGGCCAATACGGTAATCGGCCAAGCTTAAAGCAATGCGAAATCCAACCTCGTTACGGCGGGATATTGGTCACGCATTTTCTATAGTAAGAATAATAATATTTATAGTAATATTTATTTTACCAGCAGAGTTAACAAAAATATATAGTTTAAATAAAATATATAATATGATGACGCCACAGACGAAAGACAGACAGACAAGACAAGTAGAGTGACATTGTCAATAAAAACATTCAAAAATAGAAAGGTTGACAGAGCTGTTCTGTTAGATACACCCTGTAGATTTAACATTTTCGCCGAGTGAAAATAAGTCCATAAGCTTGTCCTGCCAAAATGGCAAAAACTGATTCGGAGTTAAACCTTTTATGACTTCTGCACCTTAAAGGTCCACGCTTTACATACAATTTTTAGACATTTTTTTTTAGACCCTAACCCACCTGAAGTTAACACCAACCACCTTGCCGGCCTGCAAAATTGCTTCTTCATGCCTCTCTTAAAAGACCCCAGATTGTAGGAAGAAGGGGACCACGTGCAAGAATTCCTCTTACGAATAGTACGACAAAGAAATGAGTCACCAAATTTCTTTGTTCCTGTAGGAATAGTGGCCTCAGTAAGTCGGTGGCAACGTAGGCCAGCGCACGTGGTCCTCTGAAGAAAAGGTGATGGAGGGATCATCATCATCATCATCATCAGCCTATTAATGTCCCCACTGCTGGGGCACAGGCCTTCCCTATGGATGGAATAGGGAGATAGGGCCATGACCCACCACGCGGGCCCAATGCGGATTGGCGGGTGCTAACGACTGCAGATGCAGCCGGGACCAACGGCTTAACGTGCCTTCCGAAGCACGGAGGAACTCGAGATAGAAGATTTTTGGTCACCCATCCATTGACCGACCACTGCGAAGTTGCTTAAATTCAACGATCGCAGCCGAACGCGCTAACCACTTGCGCCATCGAGCTCCTCTCTCCTCTGATGGAGGGATAACGGAGAATAACTCCTAACTGCCGGCGAGGAAGCGACTAACTATCGGCTATTTTCACGATATAGAAACGTTAGACAAGTCCGTCTGTCTGTGGTGCTGTTTCAGCGGCCAAACCGTAAGAGATAGATAAAGAGAATATTTAAGTTATAAGTTAAGAATAGTCTGATAAGACTACAAACCGGATTTGAGTAACGTAGCACTTCCGGTTTTCGAGAAATCAGGTTTTGGTGAACATTTGGTTCACTGGTTTGCTAGTATATATAATTTCCGTGTACACAAAAGAGATACATATTATTGTTGGTCGCTGACTGTTCAACACTGCCGGCGAGAACTCGCTCCATCATGCAAATCTCTTGTTTACACTAGGCTTGCAAGATGGCTGGGAAATTCACGGGAATGTCCCGGAACTTTGCGTCTTATCTCGTGTCCAGTAATTAGACCTTATTATCCCGGATTCCGATTACGTGCTAGCTTCGTAACAAAATAAACTAATAACGAATGACACTGCTGGCCTGTTTGATGTTTTAATTCTATTCTATTCAGCATCATTATTTGCGCGCGGCTCGCTAAGCTCATTCTTGGATGTGCCCCGAGTATATACGGGCTGTTCAATTGTCATTTTTGGAGAATTGTTACAAAATTGCTATTTGAGTAAGGGGCCATCCATAAATTACGTCACACGTTAAGGGGGAGGGAGGGGGTCGATGAAGTGTGACATTGTGTGACAAGGGGCTGGGAGGGGTCCTAAATTTCGTGACGTCACATTTAAAAATCTATTATAATCGAAATGTTGAAACTATAACTTTACGAAAACATAAACAACCCAAATGAGAACAAAGTGGTGCTATGCCTGTTATAAATAATTTAAAGAAACGGGCTCAATGTCTATGGACTCAAGATTATTAAGTTTGTATCTTTAATGTAATCATAATGCTATTCATATTTGTTTTGTTAAATTGTTGGATTTGATGTTAATATTATTAAAAAACAAATTTGAATGAAAATAAAACTAATTTCAGATCCGCTGTTTACATTCAATAATTTCTAAATTTTGTAAAATATGTGACGTCACACTAGGGAGGGGGGAGTCTCATAAATGTGACCAGCTGTGACAAGGACGGGGGGAAGGGCAAAAAATCATGAAATTCGTGTGACGTAGTTTATGGATGACCCCTAAAGCATATTGAACCTGCACATGTATTGGTAAGGTTTTACAGTGTTTAAAAATGCCCTTTATATTTAACTGGTTATTATTTTTGATATTTTTAGAAACCTTGGCAGAGTTTACACTATTTCTAGTTTCTGGTAAAAACTTTCTAAAACAATCTCAACATTTGAAGTATATCTAACACCCACGTGACAAGTTCAACCATGTCTAATAACTTTCTAAAACTTTATGAAAACCTTAGCCAAAATGTTCACCAAAACCTGATTTAAAAAAAAATGTATTTAATTAATTGAGAACTTCGGAGATTTTGTGTGGTTTCGTTTGAAATTCGTGATTTCTCGAAAACCGGAAGTGCTACATTACTCAAATCCGGTTTGTAGTCTTATCAGACTATTCTTAACTTATAACTTAAACATTCTCTTTATCTATCTCTTACGGTTTGGCCGCTGAAACAGCACCACAGACAGACGGACGGACGGACTTGTCTAATAGATAAGAGATACTCACTTGACCATATCAGGTTTCTCCGCCATAGCGGCCTTGTGCAAGGCAGTATTCTGATGAATGATTTGATGCTTTATTTTTTCAGGTCCCGGAACTGGTAAGCCAGCATCTGGCTGCCTTTAGTTAATAACTTTAAACCTTTTTGTTGTTAAATTTGTTTTCACAGGGATTCTTCAGCAGGCTTGAGTACGTACAGGGTTCTCGTGATTGGCAGGGGCAGTTCATGACGTCAGAATACCTGCATGCGTACGACACTAGTATAGGTACAACTTTTTTTGGTAAAAACGAAGGTTTCTCTTAGTCCAATTTAATTTAATTTAATTTCATCCCGATCATCTTGATGCGTGGCTATCCACAACCGTGCGTTTTTGTCGAAATTTTTTACCACGTACGACAAAACTGTGGAATATATTGTCGCCAGCAGTGTTTCCGGACCAATACGACCCAAAAACCTTCAAAAAAAGAGCGTACTCCTTCCTTAAAGGCCGGCATCGCATTTGTGATACTCCTGGTGTTGCAAGTGTCCATGGGCGACGGTGATCACTTACCATCAGGTGAGCCGTCTGCTCGTATGCCACCTATAACATAAAAAAAGTCCAGGGGGCCTACTGCCTATTGGGGTTGCTTTGGCTATTGCTATAGCTTATGATTTCCTTTTGTTATTTCTGACCTGCTGGATGCGGATAGCGCAGGACCGCGCATTGTGGCGTTCTATGGGGGAGGCCTATGTCCAGCAGTGGACGGAGAAAGGCTGAGGGATGGATGGATGGATTTATGGATTTCTGACCTCCGAAGGTTTTCAAATGACTCGCGCTCTGTTTGCATTGGTAATAACGGTATAAAAGAAAATGAGTAGGAGGTATTTCAAAACCTTCATCATTCATCATCATCATCATTCATTCATCATCAGCCTATTAATATCCCCACTGCTGCACAGGCCTTCCCTATGGATGGAATAGGGAGTTTAGGGCCAAAACCTTCAGCGGTCCGAAATAACAAAATTAAATAATAAGATGTAGCAATAGCCAAACCAATAGGGATGATGACAATTTTTTTTTCTTCATTTATCGGGTAGATTATCAAAAAGTATTGGACACGTATTTTTTTCTTTTTTCACATAATATAAGCATTGCAGAGATATATTGATTTCAAAAGTCGCATGACGTCACGTTTGAGTACACTTATAAGGGAAAATTCACCACTCCAAATTGACGTCACAAGACCCTACTCCCAAACTTCGACGCGCTAAAACTTTTTCATTTTTTGGTTGATTGCGCAAAGATAAAATACGTATCCATTATTTTTCGATCATCTAACTGACGGACTAAATAGAATTTCGTTTACTGTACCCCGTCATCACCCCTATTCCGATAGGCCGTAGGCCCCAAGTTTACCTTAAGATTTTGGTATATCGCCGCCCAGATAGCGGATGATGCGAGAAAGAATCTTGCCTTGATATCTAGGCCGATTTAAATTTTTAGTAGGAAAACTTTTCTTAAGATATAAATCAAGCAAATCAATGCTTAAAACTGTAATTGTTTACTATATAAAGAAAAATAAAAGTAGTCTTCAAGATTTTATTCTTCCATTTTATGAAACTAGTTTTTTTACGGGTTAATGCACGAAACTTTATTTATTTATTGACGTTTCGCAGCCTTTACAGGCTACGTCGTCGGAATCAAATTTTTATTTAATTTTGTCGAGCTACCTTCGAAAGACTTTTATTGAGCGTTCGGTTATTTCATTGTTCGATTTTTAAAGTTTTATTGTCTATGTATGAATCTATTACTTAATTTAGTTAATAAAGTATTTTATTCAAAATTATTTTTTGTAATTTTGAGTTTATTTATTTGACCCTAACTACCGTAAACTACCACCGGTTCCATTAACCCGTAAAAAACTAGTTTTATTTAATGAGTGATGTGCGTGAAAACCTAAGAAACAAATATGTTCTTCCATTTTGTTGGCGTGATTGAAATACATATCTCCACAAAATTACAGCTCTCTAGAGCTAACAGTCTCCAAGCAAAACCGGGGACGGACAGACAGACGGACTTGACGAAGTTGTAAAGGTTCCTTGGGATATACTGTACTTCCAGGGCCCAAAAGTAAAAACTTCACAGTTTTTTTGGTAGTAATTTCGCATTTTTGTTGTTAAAAAGGTTTCTGTTAACCACATTATTTGAAAAAAATGTCACACTTATGCACTGGTAGTATTTTAGAAAAAAATATTGAAAATTTTTACTTTTCTTACCAAGTGGTGATATTTCACACTAGGTTAGGTTAGGTTAGTGTTGTGACCATAACGCGCGAGCCGAGCGAGCAAGGCGGGCGTGCCGCGGCAGCGAAGCGCCAGAAAAAAAATCTGTTAAAAAGACCTTTTCTACAAAAAAAAACAAGTTTCACCTTTTGGGCCCTGGAAGTACAGTTTTACCGTTCCTTGTCACGACTACGAAACCTTAAAAATGGTAAGCTAAATTTTGACTTTTTCAGATGACGAATCAGGTGAGAGGTCGGTGTGTGTCCTGCTCGCCGGCGAGGAGTCTGAGATCACCTTCCTGGATTCACCCCCGGACCATGTCGTTGTGAGTTTCGTGGTATTATAACCTGAAATGATTGCAAACCTCTTCCAAATATCCCCTGATTTCCTAAGAACGGACCGACGAGAACTTCTCTACTAGAAAAAGAAATACTCTTAAATATTCCTGCAACATCAGCGTGTACTTTGAATCTAGAACACGCCGAATTTACCATAAATAAAAATAAATAATAAATTCTTTATTTATTTCTTCACATAAGTAGAAAAAACTTCTCTACTAGAAAAAGAAATACTCTTAAATATTCCTGCAACATCAGCGTGTACTTTGAATCTAGAACACGCCGAATTTACTACTGACGCACATAAATAAAAATAAATAATAAATTCTTTATTTATTTCTTCACTTATGTAGAAAAAAGAAAGTGCTTCATTACAATATTTCACTACTTTAAGTGAAGGCTGGTGCTTGCAATAGGATAAACCTGTTCTACAAGACACCAGGCCTCCACTCCCAAAACTACATGAACAGAGCAAGCCAACTTTGTACTGTTTATATGATTAATGTATTAATTAATACTAGCAAACCAGTGAACCAAATGTTCACCAAAACCTGATTTCTCGAAAACCGGAAGTGCTACGTTACTCAAATCCGGTTTGTAGTCTTATCAGACTATTCTTAACTTATAACTTTAATATTCTCTTTATCTATCTCTTACGGTTTGGCCGTTGAAACAGCACTACAGACAGACGGACTTGTCTAATAGATAAGAGATGAGAAGTGCCTCCGTGCTTCGGAAGGCACGTTAAGCCGTTTGAACTGGAGCTGGGGCTCTTTGGACACTTATTT